ATAATGAGAAGCGCAAACAATTCAGGACACAAACATGTACCATTTTGTGCATGTTAGATATTCTGCCAATTTGCTTTACTGTCTAAAAAGATGCTACATTACATATTCTAACTCAGAGGATATGCTTTGATCCTAGGATGGTCTGGTATTAATTTTCGATATATATTGTTTTTGTGTATTAGGGGCTCGCTGTGTTAGTACGCTATTATACGAGATGAAGCGTCGTAGGAAGGACTGTCGCTTCGGAGTGATCTCCATGTGCATAGGCACCGGAATGGGTGCAGCAGCTGTCTTTGAAAGGGGAGACTATTGATGAACTCTGCAATGGTGGAGCTTCCTATCAAAGGATGCTCGATGAATTTGTTTGTTGGTATCTTATTATTTGTATTAGGTGTATAACTTTTCATATTCCCAAGTTACAATAATTGAGTTGTCAAAGTTGTCTGCGTGGGAATCAAAATAACATTATTTGCAAAACCTCATGAGTGATGATTGGAATTTATATATACATACGCGCACGCACACATATATATATATATATATTCTTTCTTCTTAGTTTCCAAGTTTATCCCTAAGAATGCAGAAGCTTTGAGATACATGCTTGAGGAAAACCAGGTTGTTTCAAGCAACCCATTTAAGCTTTCAAGAATGATAGATTTCAAGATGAACTAGTTCACATTAATGCAACCCCGGCTACTCTTTAACGCCAAATCAGTCGAAGCAAATATTAGCCTTCTCAGGGAAAAAGCGATTGGCATAATCAATGCTAACTTTCAAAGTGAATGCATTAAGATGCATCATATATGTTTACAATGATGTTGCATAAAAACTGACATTAGAACTACAAGCATTTGAAATTTTATGATAACCATAATCAATCAATAACCATTACAGTAACTGAGGCAATCAGTCCTACCAAATTTCAAGTATCTTACAGTGGATCAAGTTAAATAATAAGAGCTTTCTTTCTGTGCCAGATTTCTCATTAAAACAGAGGATATGGTCCGGAACTAATATCATTAAAAGAAACAAGGAGAAGGTGACACCTCATTCCAGATCAGGTGAGCCTCCCGGGACCAGCTGCATTGCACGAAAAAAAGAAATAGTATAAGAAATTTGATACCGGTGTCTGTTACAATGTCTGGACATTGGTTTCTCATTTCCCAAATTGCTACCCTTTCGTTATATCTAGCATAAATTTGTTTCAATCCATGAATTAATAACTCAAAAATATATCAACCCTAAGTAAATTACAGTTTAAACTTCTAACAAGAAATGCATTAACTAAATTTGGGGGGGGGGGGACATTTAATCTTACGATGGCAATGTTGTTTCCATTAAGCAAAATTTGATCAAGCTTTGTGATCCGTCTTCCTTCAGCAGTCATCTCACAGTAATATGGGAAAAAGAAGCAAACAATATCAGCACGAGCTATAAGGGATGTTCTACTCAAGGGGGCAAACATCCAGCATGGGGCAGACATGCATATATACATGTTCTTGTATAGCACTATTGTTTTTGAATCGATGCGAGAAAAACAAATCAAATATATTGTCCTCTCGAAAGAAATAACTATCACCACCTAGTGAACAAAATGCGAAATATCGTGAAATCGGGCAATGATGTTCGATTGGGGTTGCCAATAGCAGTGCAGCTGGCAAACTGAGTGGATTTCCAACCACATTATTTTCTCCATATGGACAACTGGTTCTCAACTTTTCCCTTTACTCTTTAGTAACGAGGCTTCGAACTAATGCAACATCAACAGTAATGAAAATGATTGCTGAAAATCCTTAACTTAAAGTTAGAGACTTTGAAAAACTTCAACGGGGGAGATAAAGGCTCCAAAAATTGGCATTTGTTGAATGCAAAAAAAAAACGTAACTACTACCCAGAAAACTTTGTATCTTTCTCATCAAATTCGTAGCCCTATTTACTAGCGACCGAAGCATAAAACCCTAAAACACAGAACAAAATAGAACACTGCAGGGAAAGTTTGAGCTGATATAACTAAATCTAGATATTCAAAGAAAAGGGGAAAGGAGTTTACTATTCAGTGACATCTTCGAGTACCATATTGACGTAGACATCGAAGCCTCTTAGAGTACCCACGAGCTCCTTGTCCCCTTTCATTATCACCCATATTTTGGACCCTATGCACCTGTCTATCAACTCTGCAAGAAAAAACACACACTCCCAAATAGTTATTTTGTCTGGTTTTCTCCGGGAAGTGAAGGAGAAAAGGATATCACCTGACGGAAGAAGCTGCGAGGGATTGTTTGCCATTGCTTTTAACAGAATTCCACTGAAACTAAGAAAACTTCAATGTTTCTTCTTTACGACCAAAGTATGGCAGTGAAAAGACTTCATTAGATCAAACATGTTCGGTCAGCCCAACAGACTTCAAACCTTCCGACCCAGCACCAGTCAAGTCGTTCTGGGCCGTCTTGATTCAATGATTAAATACACATTCCTTTACCCTTATTATCTCGGGCTTTCCTCATTTTGTTATGCATGGATGGATGTTGAGATCCCATTGATATATTATCAATTCTAATAGACATATTAGAAGGTCCTATTGGCATGAAACTTAGTAGGAATTGAATTGAAATATGACTGAAAATGAAATCTTTAGTATAAATCAATGCAGTTTAGGAGGAAACAATGAAATATTTAAGATAAGTTAATGCAATTTATGAGGAAATACATTGGTCTGACATGACATGTTTCGCTTCAGTAAACTTAAACTACTCTTTAACCTAACCCTTCCATCCCAAATAATCAGAGAGTCTGATCTTCTATATAACGTCAGGACGAGGCAACCAGGACCACCCCGCATCAACCAACTACGGATGTACAATTGTATGGCGAAGGGACAAGCCACCAGGGCAAGCACATTCCGGTTCTTAAATTAACACTAAATCTCCATAAAACCATCATATGAGCATTTGTTTTATATATAATAATCGCCATGTTACTATGGATCTCAAGCCAACCCTTCCCCACTCACTGCTCGCTTGTCTGTCTCATCGTCATCTTCCTCAACACTCAACCTTCCCAGATTTCTTTGTCTTCATCTCCACAAGTTCCTCATTTTTTTAGAGAAGGAATCTTAAGCACACTGACAGCAAATATAGATCTCTCGGAGCTGTCCATTTTGACCAAGATTTGCTGAAAAAAAGTTAAAAGACTTCACTCATTTTTCCAATACTATTTAATTATCATTTCTCCTCCAATAAAATATCAAGCAAACACAAATGCAGGTGAGTCATTTGCCATTCAAAATCATATATCACCATTTTCCTAAAGCTTACACCCCCTCATTTGTGGAATATATTTATATATATGTATATAGCAGATCCTTAAGTGGCTCTTTATTGTTACTCATGAACAAGGAGGACAAAACACTAGTGGTAACAAAGAAACTCTTGTCAACTATAATGTATGTTGTCTGAAATGAGTTCAATATTTTGTTTCAATTGCTTGCAGATCAAGAAGATGAATCTAAAAACATAGTTTTTTTGCTTCAAAGCATAGAAGATCGAAAAGGAAGAAGTTTCAGTTTAAGCAATTTACATTGCCTTGCAATAGAGATGTTGCAAGGGCCTGCTTCTATAGTACTATCTATTTGAGTAGAGTTAGGTGATTTCATAGAGGAAAACAGCAGCATTGGGCTCAATCGATGAAGAAAGAAGATATCGCTAGAGGGTTCGTAGTTAGTCCGATGTCGGATTCGGGTACTCGTGCATTGTCGTCGTCTGCTGGAAAAAACGATCGATGTAACACCGATGAAAAGAAAGAGAGGCTTAAGGGGGATAAAACCAAAACCATGTCTAGAATGAAGGAGCTGCTGAGATGGGCTGCTGCTACGAAATCGGAGAAATTAAGTGGGAAGTTCATCGGCAGAAAGGTACGAGAAGTTTGAATTCGAATTATTCGCTTGTTTAACTAAGAACTGCATGGACTTAAAGAAGTTGAAACCGCTCACAGGTTTTACAATTCAGGAACCGTGAAGCACCGAAAGGTGTAGTAGCAGCAAATGATGATCAATTTAGCTACGAGTCTCCTAAGATAAGCTTTAGATGGGATGTTGATAGCTGTACCACTACTTCCTCAGCCTTTTCTGGGATGTCGATGACTTCTTCGTCGAGAAACGATCGAAGCTGCAACATAGTATCGATGAATTCAACTCCGATGAACGGCCTAAATCGATGTTCTAGCAGGAGAGGAAATTGGATAACTACAGACTCTGAATGTAAGACTAATATATGTGTGTATGTGTATTCCTCTGATCTTCAGCTTATATTGATTCTATATGTATGTTGTTGTGGATACAGTTGTGGTGTTGGAGCTCTGATGATCGAAGGTTGAAGCAGATAATTTCTGGGTTGGAATGTAAAAAAGAAAATACTCCAGTGGTGTAGATTGGATTGATTCACTAATTAATTGTTGTTTCTTGCTTCTTTAAATGGATCAATATTAGTTCTGAGGATTATTGGCATACATACATGTTCAATCTGACTTCAACCAATTTCCAATAACTCTCCCTGGATTTTATTTAACACTAACATATGCATAATTTTATATAATTTTAAAAGACAGTAAATTTATAAAATTTCAAGGGACTAAAGCAGATTTTTAATAAAACATAATAAATAAATTATCTAAAATATATAAGAATTTAAATTTTTCAACGGACGACTGTCTTCACACACCCTCTTTCGGTCTATACTTTTTTAAAGATAAACTATTATATAAAAAGTCATTTTCAAGAATTAATTATTAGTGAATTTATTTTTCATGTAGGATAAATATAAGTGACTAAATGAATTATCCAAAATCCTACTGAAATGATTTTGTTTTTCTTCTCTCTTTCAGAATTTCAAATGTGAATTGTATGAAGCAGGCAGTTCTTTTTTTTTCAGACATTAATGAACAACCTAACAAGTATAATTAATTTTAATAATTATTAGTTGGAATTTTAGTTTTCTAAACAACACAAATAAAGGTTGGTCGATTGCATCAAGATACCGCGATTAGCTCAGTGAGCATAACTGATGTGTGGGAACCTATTGAAGAGGGCCTTATTCCGTAAGTCTCTGACTACTTACACCCCCCCTTTTATGACTTGTTAGGTTTGTTACTCATACATGAGTATTTAGTATCTTGTTTTGTGCAGTGTGGAGATGACTTGCCAGGTCTCAATGATATCTATCACCTTGTCAACCAAAGAGCTAAACAAAAACTCTGTCGGGTAAGCTAATCTATCTTGTATTTTGCTCGGTTTTCTTTTTTCAACAATGGGAAAGTAAATTGATGAGATGCTGGTTAGTAGCCAGTCATTACTTTTTCAGGGAAGTATAAATATGGAAGCTTTGGGTTTTTATTTATGCTTAGCTCTAGGGTTTGATACATACGCTAGATGCCAGTTCTTAAATGTTTTAACTGCCGCTGATACAGTAATTATTGTTATGTTGCTCGTTTGATTGAAATAACTCTTTGCTGGTATGACTTGAAATGTATCACTCCAGATATCAAGCTCCACATTATGCTGAACAACCCAAGCCACAATATCATTATCAGCAGAAGCAACCGGCCAAACAAGCTCTCGTCCCATATAATGCTGTTAATGAAGGTGTTTTCAGGAACTAGTAATCTGCAACTGTTTCCTAACTTTGTTCCTTTTGAGCTCATCTCATTTCCTGCATTTCATATATAGATTCATATGGACGAGGTAGGGGTAGAGGCAGAGGGAGAGGACGGAGTTGGGGCAGGGGTGGATACTCAAACTATGGAAATTATCAAGGTATAGTATATGGATTTTGAATATATATCATGGTAATTATTGAAAATTTTCTTTTACATTTATGAAGTATAAATCTACATTTTTGTTGGACCATATTTCATACTTCACTTGTGTCTTATAGATAACAGTGGATACTCGAACTGGGGCAGAGGTGTTGGGCGAGGAATGTAAAGATTAGCAATAGATGTCTAATCTATGTAAACAGAGAAAACAAATGAGAGAAACAAAACTTCTGAAATTCATTATTTTCAAGCATGTGTATTACAACTCTCAAGGAGATTATTTATAGCTAGTACTATAGCTATAACAGATGAAGTAACTAACTGCACAACAAATTAACTACTTCAACTGATCAGCTGCAGTGAATAAAACCTCAGCTGCACAACCATCATGCACATCAGTGAACTTATATGCCATGCATTTACATACACTAACAAGGAAGAAGTTGGGGTTATCGTGGTAAGTGTACTGACAACTTGTTGGAGTGGTATTTTATCAGTTTGGAAAGTTTTATGTTTTTGTATCTTTGAAAGTAACCATTGTTAAAATCTCACTTCATACTTGCTAAACAAGAAACGGTTCATGGATGAACGTCCTTTGTCTTAAAATTGTGGACTTCTGCCTCCAGTTTCCTCGCTCCTCATCGGTACTTATCAATCGACACCTAAGCCAATCTTGACAATACAAAGAATGTATAGAATAGTTTTGAGAGTAGCTCGAACAAAAAATTGTCTAGTTTAAAATTCTAGTTGTGATGAAGTAGAGTTCAACGGAAACACAACGATCATACCAATAATAATGTTTTAATTTGGACCGCAGCTTTTGTTTCTTATAAGCTAGTTTGAGCCATGCCAGTTATACATCTATTAAAGTAGCTAAAATCTTACTGATGTACAATACAAAGAATGTATAGAATAGTTTTGAGAGTAGCTCGAACAAAAAATTGTCTAGTTTAAAATTCTAGTTGTGATGAAGTAGAGTTCAACGGAAACACAACGATCATACCAATAATAATGTTTTAATTTGGACCGGCAGCTTTTGTTTCTTATAAGCTAGTTATGAGCCATGCCAGTTATACATCTATTAAAGTAGCTAAAATCTTACTGATGTAAGTTCAAATTCCAGAATAGAATCCATTACAACGAGTCTCTAATTGCCTGACTTGTCAATATTTGTTTGGCTGTTTTTATTCCAACAGGTGGTGGCTATGAAAGATGTAGAGGTGGTGGTGGTAGAGGCAATAGCCGTGGACGTGGAAGGATGGGTGGTGGTCGCTCAAGGGGCGGTGGCTACTAAAGCTTAATCAAGGACGCATGGAGCTTGTGTTGGTTTTTTCCCCATTAACTTTTAGATGCTTGCCTTGGCCAGTGGGAGATTATGGAAGTAGGAGCGTATGAGATTGTGGGTTAAAATCTGCAGCAGCATTATTAAGCAGTGGTATTGTGCTTGTGTCTGCATTATATGAATGAGAGAAATCTTTTTTAGCCAAGGCCATGAGGATGATGGGTTTATGATTTGTGCTGTAATTAGGGCGTTCATTCGGTTAAAACGGTGGTCGACTCGAATTACCATTAATCGAATTAACTGAACTTTTTTTAATCGTTAACCGAACCGAATAAATTTCGGTTAATTTTCGAATTAACCGATTTTTTTTTTAAAGTTTCATAATTTATATAAAAATTGAATATTTTTTAATTCAATTTTTTTTACAATTAATTTAAATAATATATAATTATAAAATAAAAATTTTATATGTAATTTCTTAATTAATTAATAATGATTTAGATTTAAAAGTTATTAGATCTTAAATTATTAATTGGGTTTTAAATGGTTTGGGCTGAACCCATATATTATATATAATATATTTAAATTTAAATTTTGGTTAATTAACCGATTTCGAACCGAATTCTAAAAAATTTATTAACCATTCTCCGACCGAACTAAATAGGTGGTCGACCGAACTAATTAGGTGGTCGACCGAATTAACCGAACTAATTCGGTTCGATCGATTAATTCGGTTAAAATCGAAAAATGAACACCTCTAGCTATAATGGAAGTTTTACCCTAATCATGTTTATATATGATTTCTTTATTCCTTGGAACTCTCTCATCTCCTTGCCCAAGTCATAGCTGTTACCTGTAAAAAAGGTTACCATGAAAGTTGTGGTTAAAGTGTATTTAGCTTTTAGCCTTGAAGGCAATAAAACCTCTTGATACCATATATATATATGGGATAATTATAAATTATCCTCTAGTTTCTAAGAAAGTTATATTTTACCCCTCTCGAGTTGGGATCCTGGCTCCGTCCATGCATATCATCCTAGAAGTTTTCTTTGTTTTTAACAATTGCAAGATTTCATCAGCAAACATCCAACTAAGAAGCTAACCGAATTGGCATAATAATATATTTTTGCAGGAGGTTCATTGGTGATGTAGATACTTGTCTTCAGTCAATACAAACAAAAATGCTGCACCCAAAGAAAACAAAACAAAACGGCAGTAATGAACAAAGTCAGAAAATATGGCCTCATCCATTGTCCATTATATTATTGTTTCAAGCAACGCAGATTCAAAGGATTCTGCTTATATTATTCATATATCCCCAAGTTTTTCTCTGAATTGAAATCTTTTGTGGTGAAGGATGATTAGTACTTGGGAACAAACTGGGAAATAACTCCTCATATTTTTTTTTTTTTTTTTTTGCGAAGGGAAAATTAAATACAAATAAGATGGAGAAGATTTTGTAACATTCTCGATTCCTTAAATTATGATTTTTTAACTATCAGATCAAAATATTGTTTTGAGGATTAAAATAATTATTGTAATTATTTTAGAATTTGTTTGATCTGATTAAGTTACTTGAATTATAAGATTATTTGATTTGGGATTAAATTTAAAAATTAACACGTGAAATTAAAAGTTTAATGACCAAATTATAAAACACAATTTTCCTTAATTTTAGCTTGGAAACCAGAGTGAAGAAGTGTAGGAGAGCCATTTCCTTATCTTCTCCAAAAACTCTCTTTACCATTGATAAAGGCTTTCACGAACAAGTGAGAGAAATTCACTATCTAAATTCTTAAGGTGGCGTTTGGTTCGCTGGAATGTTTATGAGGGAATTAGAATCTGTGAATGAAATTAGAATATGTCAGAAATTGGAATCCAATTTCATATTCTGTTTGGTTGGCAAAAATGAATTGGAATCCAATTACATATTCTGTTTGGTTCGCATACATGTCAGATAAATTTGATTTCAGTAATGTAAAATGACAGAATTGCCCTTCTTGTTTTTTTGCTTTATTTTAGTTTGTTTTACAACTTACATGTTGTAATATATTATAAAAAAATAAAAAATATTAATTTTTCATTTTATTGATTGATTATTAATTTCAATAAATTATAAAAATCATGCTAATAAACATCATAAGTTAAAATCATCGCAATCAAAATATGTTAATAAGTTACCAAAAGATAGATCAATATTTCGATACATTCCAATTGGAGTATGTTAATTAGTTACAAAAAAAATATACTAAAAACTATTTTTATTTAATATATGAATTAGAAACCCGACCCGAAATGACACAAAATAATAAAAAAATTATTTTTATTCAATAAAAACATTGACTTAATTGAAAAAAAATTATATATAGAGGGGTATTATTGTAATTATTCCTAAATATATAAGGTAAAAATTATATTTTTGTTGGGGTCGGTCTGATTTTTTACCCTAAACCCGAACTCGACCCGAATATCACACTTAAAAAACCTCGACCCGACTCCACCCGAATATCACACTTAAAAAACCCAACCCGAATATATGAATTAGAAATCCGACCCGACCCGACCCGAAATAATAAAAAAATTATTTTTATTCAATAAAAACAGTGACTTAATTGAAAAATATATATATAGAGGAGTATTATTGTAATTATTCCTAAATATATAAGGTAAAATTATATATATTTTCGGGTCGGGTATTTTTCACCATAAACCCGAACTCGACCCGACCTGAAATAATAAAAAAATATTTTTATTCAATATATGAATAAGTTACCAAAAGATTGATGAATGTAGTATGGTTAAATTTCAATTCCTTCCAACAAGGGAATTGAATTCCATCAATTCTTGGATGTAACTCACTTTCACTCATTTGATGGAAAGTTGAAGCCATGAGGGATTCCAATTCCTTTGAAAAATTTGAACCAAAATGGGAAAGTGGTGGAATTGGATTCCAATTCCCTCTAATTTCAAGTGATTCCCTCCAATTTCAAGGGATTCCAACCAACCAAACGCCACCTTAATGTGTATGAGAATCAAATTTAGATTCTTCAAGCTTGTAATTTAATATAGCATCTAATCCTAAATTAAGTTTGAGGTTATGCATGATAATTTTTTTTTTGCTTTGATATTGATTATGTTATACCGATATATCTTTGTTATGTGATTGTATGTTTTAGAAAAGAAGGAAGAATTCATTGACTAAACTCGTTTGGTTAAAGTAGTATTGTTCTCTTTTAAGGTTCTGAGTTCTAATAACTACACATATTTTTGAAAAATAATAATAAACGGATGATAAAAATGGAACAAAAATCATAATTAAGTACTAAACGTGTAGTTTACCATTGATTTATATATAATAGTTAAATGGGCGGCCCCCGTGAAGAAGCAAAGGGAAGATGTGGCAGTCAGTATGCGTGTGGATGAACTGAGAACAAAGACGCAAAGGCGTCTGGATACATGAGATCTTTTGGATTTCAATTTCTTGTTTTGAAAGTCTTCATTGCATCATGTATAAGAGAAAAGATACCAAAGGGGATGAACTGATAATAATTGAGAATCAAAATGATGAAGAAGAGCAGCTCCAGCTCAAACAGAGATGATCTTTATCATGTTCTTCATAAAGTCCCTCAGGGAGATTCTCCTTATGTTAAAGCTAAACATGCTCAGGTCTCTCTCTCCACTTTCTTAGCTTTCTTTGATTAACTCTCTTGCTTCTTCTGCTCTGTTACTACCTTTTTTTCTTTCTTTTCTGCATAAACAAACATGAATCAATTAGTTGTTGAAGGAAACAAGTCGTACTAAACCTACCTGCCTTGATTATTTTCCTTCTACTTTTCCGGGAAAAAAATATGGTTAGGAAAGTCTATTATAATAGGAAGATTGATGGCAAAACCCAGAAATCCAATGAAACAAACATCTGCATTCTAGTTCCGTGCATGCACAGGCGATCACCAGAATTTTCCTTCTATAATCAACAAGTTAATAGCATCAACTCGATGAGCAGTTGACTTTGTTTCTCTTCCTTGTTTTCGTTTTTCTTCAAGATCTCTACACTGGCTGCAGATCTACAAATCTAATGCTGAGCCAAAAACATCAGTTAATTAATTACTTGATAAAAAAAATCACTAACAGTGGGACTAATGACATGATCAGCTATCAAAGCATGAAAAACGTCGTGCATTGAAACTAATTAGTCACCATTTCCTAGTTCTTGTTTTGATATGATTCGACCATTGATCCAGGTTTTTCTTCTCGTCTATTTATTTAACGGTCTAAGTAGAGACTAATCTCATCGAACTGGATAAGAACACTGGTCCGGTTTTTATAACATTGTTTTTCTGTTGTATATATCTCGAGAGGTTGGAAGTTCATAATTCAAAATTTTGGGTTGACTCTGGCAGCTAGTAGAAAAGAATCCAGAAGCAGCAATAGTCTTATTTTGGAAAGCGATAAATGCGGGTGACAGATTAGACAGTGCACTAAAAGACATGGCCGTGGTGATGAAGCAACTCAACAGAAGTGAAGAAGCCATTGAGGCTATCAAGTCTTTCAGGTCACGTTGCTCTAAACAAGCACAGGAGTCACTTGACAATGTTCTCATTGACTTGTACAAGGTATGATTCCATGAATTCTCAATGCATGGTTTGCCCTGCAACTACATTTTAACTGGTTTCCCATAATTGAAATTGCAGAAATGTGGAAAAGTAGACGAGCAGATCGACTTAATAAAACGAAAGCTAAGATTAATATACCAGGGAGAGATCTTCAATGGAAAACCGACCAAGACTGCTCGTTCCCATGGGAAGAAGTTTCAAGTCTCCGTTAAGCAAGAAACCTCAAGATTACTGGTATCATTTTCATTTTTGCTTGACAATATAGGTCATTGGCAATTATTAGTACTGTGGTTTTGGTGAATAATGACTCCACATTTGCATGGCAGGGAAATTTGGGGTGGGCTTACATGCAGAAACCAAACTACATGACCGCAGAGGTGGTTTACAGAAAGGCTCAGATGATCGATCCGGATGCCAACAAGGCCTGCAACTTGGGTCTTTGCCTTATCAAGCAAGGCAGGTTTGATGATGCGGATTCAGTCCTTGGAGATGTATTGCAAGGTAAAATTCCGGGTTCGGATGACATTAAAGCCAGGAATAGAGCTATGGAGTTGTTAATGGAAGTTAAAGCCGTTCAGCCACCTTTGGAATTATCTGATATTATGGGACTTGATGATCATGATTTCTTCAATGGAATTGAGCAGTTGATGAACGAATGGGCCCCGGTTAGATCAAAGAGGCTGCCCATTTTTGAAGAGATCTCCTCATTTAGAGATCAATTGGCTTGTTAATTTGAAAAATAATAAGATTTGCATTAAAAAAAAGTTATTGGGGTTTTGCTGTATACAATTGTATTGGTGTCAGTCTCGTTTATATACATGTAGGGATGAGTATGCTGTAAATAGTGTGGAAGTTGTGTTACATTTTTGTATCAACATAATTGTGCTATAATAATCCAGTTATCTAGTTATTCGATCAAATTGTTTCGTAATTGTTCATCGATTTACTAGAGATTCTAGGTCAATAGATAGATAGAACCATTAGTTAAAATTCAACAAAACAAGTGTTTTTGTCAAGTTCATGATAGTTGTTTCCAGAACCTAATTGAGTGCCTTCTAATTAAACTCTACATATGGGAAGTTCTAAAGCACAAAAATCAAAAGGGGAACATGTTAATCTATAGCACAAACGTAACACACAGCAAACCATTTAGCCATTAAGATTCTAAAACCACTTAATGTCCCAAATAAGATCATCTGAAAGTACTTTACTTGATATCTATATATTTATAGTTTTCGAAACTCAATTTCCCTGGTTCGAATTTCCACACATCAATATACTTGGAGCTATCAAAGAACCTACACAAATATGCACACGGTCTCCCTATGTAGCTACAGCAGAAAAAGGGCATGCAATTAAGGGAAACTATAACTATAACTAGAGTATCGACGTTACTTGTGACAGCTACCAATCGGTCCATGAATCATCAAGCAATCATTAACATTTGAAGCCATGACAAACGGACAGCACATAAGAATCAAGGCGATCAGAATTCCCAGAACTATCAGCTTTAATTTCATGTTCTGTAACCACATCTTTCTCCTCATCTAGGTTCCCTGCTGCCTGAAATCTTGTGCCTATAAAACATCCAAACAAGAAGTACCCACTTTATATGATATGTAAACTAGTAAAAATCCAAAATACACTCCCTGCAATTTTGAACCAACAGTAGGAAAATTATGTTTAAGGTTTTCAAGTTGAAGTGCAGCTTTAGAAAACATTGGAGCTAACTTGTGATGCCAACTATGCTGAACAAAATTGTAACATATATGCAGGTCCTGTCCGAGGTTAGCATTATTTTACCAACCAGTTCCCTAACAAGCTCAAATAATGCCTGATTATGATCTACCTGTGGTGCAATACTGAAGCACATTGCCCATATTTTAAAAGTAGATCAATATGATATACACTTGCTGACCTGAGAGCGAAGGTTTTCAGTTTTACCCACCAAAAGCTCAATTTTCTCACCACGGTCCAGACCCTGAAAAATTAGTTTATGAATGAAAAACACAGAAAAGGATGGCAACGCTAAATTTGAAAAGCTGGACTCCTTCCCACCTAAAACCCTCACATTGCACTCCATGCTATATGCACATATGGAAAAAGATAACAAGGATTACTTTTCAATGTTTCCATAACTCCTTTGACTTCTGAAACTTAAGCTTTCACTTTGGCAGTCTTACTAATCTCCTCTGGATGATCAATGCAGTACTGCATATGCTCCTTCAGTTTTGGCCTATATCAACAGTACTAAAAACATGGCATTAATGTACTTAACAACAATAAAGACATTCTATTTAATGGTAAAAGAAAAAAAATACCCAAACTACTTGCTCAGGCTGTTTGCAGGAGCAGCCGCAGCTTTTCCTCCTCCATACCTCTTGGTAAAATCCTCCTTAATTCTCTCAACAAAGGCAATCGGCACTTGCCGCCCAACAGATTCAACGGCAACCACACAGTAAGCTGCAAAGTGTAATGATGTTAACCCAAGAAAGAACCGATGTAACCTTATTTCACAACAGATGCAGCAGCACAGGATGTGAAGAAACAGTAAATATCAAGCAAGCACCAAATGCACCTTTGAAATGATCAGCTGAGATTTCACTCTTTCAATAAATAAGCAAACATGTCTATTCTTCTACAGTAATTAGGCATGCAGACCAAAGACGTTAATCATTTGCTATAGTAGTAAATTGTACAATATGAAACCCATTGAGGGCCTTAGTGGTAAAGGGGAGTGTAATAATGGGCATGAGACTCGTACCGTCGGGTCTCGACTCGACCCGATCCGACCTGACTGATTGCGTAGGTTTTTTTTAAAATTGGGTTTGGGTCCAGTCGGGTTGATCTTTTTAAAGGTGATGTTCGGGTCAGATCGGGTTCAAGGTGAAAAATACCAGACCCAGAAAATATATAATTTTACATTATATTTAGGGATAATTATAATATTACCCCTCTATATATTATTTTTTTCCAATTAAATCACTATTTTTATTGAATAAAATAATTTTTTATTATTTCGGGTAGGGTCGGATCGGGTTCGGATTTTATCACAAAAATCAGGTTGGTTTCGAGTCTGGTGGAGGGTATATATTTTTAGTGTCGGGTCGGGTCAGGTTGACCGAAACAAGATCCAAAATATAACTTCAAGTATAATTTTGAAAAAAGAAATAGTTGAGTGGCAAAAACTAATCGTAAGAATATTAGGGGGACTAATACTAGGTTTACCCTTTTCTATATTTGTTTTTCATTAGGGTAAACTAACCTACTAGTTATCCAACTATTAATGTATTTCTATTTAGATAACTAGACAAATATTTTTGATTTGGTCATTAATGTTATCATGTCAATTTGTTATCATACTTATCATATCATACTTATTTGTTATCATGTCAATCTTTCCTACTTTGGACATTCGAATTGGATTTAGATACGCGATTTTCGCTAGTGGATAGTTTTCACATTGTTCAACTCTGATTACTATTTTTCATTAGTATTCAATAACTTAACCCCATTTTTTAATTCGTTTTCCAATGCAATCAAATATATTCATATTTTCTTTTGTTCGAATTTGTTGTTAGGTTTTTAATATTCTTCTTGTATGATCTTACGTGGTTAACTTTTTGTATCAATGGTTATAGGGAAAATTTTAAATTATGCGTTAGTATGATTATGATTGTAAATATTCATTATAATATTTATCATTTCAATAAAATTAACTGATTTTTTATATATATAAAAACTTTCCGAAAAAAATAACAAAAATATCACTAAATTGAAAAGAAAAAACACTCAAAATAGTTCATTAATAAACAAATATGCACACTTTAAGCTCTTTCCCAAAATCCCATATAAATTTCACAAATAAAATTATTACATGGATTATTCAATGAAAATACTTTAAGCTCATATATATAAGACTTGATGGACATTAAATTTGAAAAATTTAAACTGATCTGATTGAATTGTTTTCCTGCACCTGGGCTTTTATTGGGCTTCTAAAGCATACAACATGTTAATGGCAAATCAAGTCCATGTATAAGTTGACATAAGTAGGCAAAATGAAGTAAAGATGGGAGGAGTGAGACGGAAACAACAAGGTTCGCACATTTCCAATCTTTCTATCATTATATTTTGTTTTTGTTTTTCCCTCGTTCTTTCAAAACCCCCTCCTTCGTTTCCCCTTTCTCCAATCAAAATACACGAGCCAAAACATCCTCACCCACTTCTTATTTTGTTTCAACTCCCTAACCCTAACCGCCTCATTGCTCTCACTTCAATGCCCTTGTAAGATCATCCCTTTGCGTGTGCAGGATTTCTCCGGTAAATGCTAGAGGAAAGGTGTCGATTGCATCGGTGGGAACATCGGTTTTTTCTTTGAATCAAATGACGGAATACGTGGCTTCGTCGTCATGCTTCAAGCTACATTTGCACCCAAGTTTTCTCATGCAGAGAGGATTTTTGAATCGGAATTCCAATTTCAGGACGCCGCCGAGGTTAGTCAACTCAATCTTATGATATCTTGGGGGGTTTCATGTTTTTCTTGAACAACTATTGGGGTTTCGCATTGTAGTGAGCTTCTTTTTCCTTCATTATCATGTGATTTCTTATTTGTTTTTAAAGATTCGTGGTGTTTCCGAATTTGGAAAGAGTCTCCGTCGTCAAACTGGTAGGTCATATAATTGCATCTTTTTAGCTAACACACCTGTACGAACAATCCTAAGTTTTCAGCTGCAAATGTGTGTAACATTCCGTGTATAATTTTATGTTTGCTGTAGTCTGTAGAAATTGCGAAAATTATTGGGATAATAACCTCATATTTTTTGCTTTATTTGTAGCAGGTTTTACCATGGGAGTTGTAAAGTGTTATGGCTTTCAAACTGGAGAAAAAGGAAGGTTTATAATCCATTTTTACCAAATTTGAAAGTGAGTCCCTGCTTCGTGGAAACTCCCGTGAGATCTACTTGCTTGTGGTCTTTAGTGGACTTTGATGGTATAACAGCCTCTGAATTGGTAACTGTTGGTGATCAATTACTGCTGATGACTGGTATACTTCTTACATATATGGCTGGAGTAATTCCTGTTCAAAAGTCCGGTTCCACATATCAAAAGAACATAGCTGACAGTGATGCCTTTCCCCATGGTTCAACCTCTTCTGGTAGGTAAGGGTAAGCGCGTCAAATATTATTATTCCTATGAATCTTTTCCTTACGTATGGTTCACGAAATAGTAACACTTGTCAGGGCTGCCTGTATTTCTTTTTTATTTAGCACTTAATTTCAATGCTTTGGAATGTGTTACCTTGTTTCTCTCATTTACCAGGGATATTTACTTTATAAATGCAGTTCCAAGACAAACAGTAACCAAGAAAATTTGAGGCCTGCCTGGGATATTGTAAGAGGAAAACTTTTGGATTCTCTAGACATTATTGAACATGAGAATAGTTTCAAAAATGCCGTCCTTGACGAGAAACAATGTGCAAAGCGACCCTTAAGCTTATATGCTTTATCTGAAGGTTCGAAGATAAGATTGCTTTGGACTTCTCTTCAGCAACTTGAGGAAGAGGTAGGTACTGTATATCGGTTCCTTTGTAGTTGTTTTGATTATTTCCTTATGCTGAATTTAGTTCATGTAAGTTCATTCTGTCCAAAGAAATTGCACGCTTAAGTTGAAATCTGTGAAATCATTCTTGCTTTGCATCATTCATATACCGCTGTGGGTAGGGGACCTGTTAAATGGAAAATAATGCATGGGACAAAATACTACCAAAAACTGATGACACCTCTCTTTTTCTGAGTTTTAATTTATGAAAAACAAATGTGTAACCTTGAGAATATACAAGCTCCTATATTTAGATCCCTGAGAAAGTGATAATGAATGTGTTATTTGGTCGTTTATTGAATCCACAGACCATGAAGTAGGTTCATGTCTGTGTGAGAAATGAATTAGTGTTGATCTGAAAAGTTAAGTTTCCAAATTCAAAGATGCCAACATATGTTAATAAAGGATCATCTCTTTGATCATATTCTGGGTTCACAATAAGGAAACCCATGAAGTGTGGAACTTCAATAATATTTTTTTATCATATCAAATAGAAATGTTTCATGCCTTTCTTCAGGTGAAAAAGAATGCTGGGACTTCTGATACCGTAAATATGGATGATTGGTTGATAGCCTTTTCCAGAATGATTCAAAATTCCTGTAAGCCCATATCCTTTGCTTGGATAAAAAAGGAACTTGGGCTTGAAACCAATAATATGGTACTTCAAAAATCTTATGATAACTGTATGGTTTCTTTGTTTTTAGCTTGTTTGAATGAAGTATCCTTTTCTTTCCCTCTTCTGGCAGGAACTTGTTTCTCTGATTACTGAGAAGTTAAATGGAGACAACACAGTTTTACAAAATATTGCAAAGTCGGGGAAGAAAAATCTGTATGCAGAATTGTTGTACTTTCTTAGATTTGGTTCTCTAAGGTAAAATGAATTGCCACCGTCTCTGTCTTATTGTGTTCATTACAGTATGATCTAAGATTATTCTCTCTATATGTTTTATATCTTTATAGATTACTCGAACTTTTTATAATATGAATTTCTAACAGTTGCTTTTAGTGTACTTTATAAAATTTCAAAGCCACTAATCTTATCACTTGTTGCATTCATTATCTTGTGTTTCTTTCTCTTTAGAAACAAATTTTAGAAATATTTCTAGACATCAATTCTGCTAATCTATTGATGGAGAGTAATGGAAAGATTTATATGTACTAACAGATGTATGTGCACAACTTCCTTTTAAATCATTCTTGAAGTTGTATAATATTCTCTTGCTGCTGGCTTCATGACACCCACTTTTGGTTTAAGACCTCATATCAACAAGGAATCTCTTTAAGCTGTGGTTTTTTTCAAAGTTCATGAATCAAGTGGCTTTTGAGTTGGTTCAGAGAAAATGAGCCTGGATGTTTGTAAGATATGCGAGCTAAGTGGCCTTAATTTCCCTTTATGCCATGTATTGAGAGAAACAGCTGGAACACAAAGACATTTGAACTTTCCAAAGTTTTTTGTCCCCCAAACTCATAGACTTTGTGAAGTAGAAGATATTTAATTGTCTTGGAAAATTATGCATATATTTTGTGGGAACTGACCGTGTAGTTGTTTTACCCTTTGATATCCAGTTTACTCTTATCTTTCTTTCCCAAAGAATGATTACTTTTGTTTCATGACTAATTCAGAAATTTAAACTCTTAATAAAATATGATGCTAACAAGTAGACCATATTCCCTTGACCCATCCACTGGTTGACTAATGTGAGATTGGCTGGCAGATATGGTACAGACTAGAGACCCTAATCATACAGCTGTTAATTTCGTCTTACTTGGTTTACGTACTATTAGTTGTTTCCAGATAAGGTTCTGAGTGGAGGTAACTTGCACCGATGGTTGTCTGAAGTAGGATTATTGAAGAACCTATAATTGTCAGGTATCGTCACCACTTGGCAGTTGACAAAATAATTCTGCCAGCAACAAAAAGTTATCTATGTCTGATGGTTGTTGTAATCATAAATGCTTTCTGCTAAAAGTTATGTCGAAGGATAACTTTCTTTTGGGTGCAATATATGTAGGCTTCGACATATGTTTTTCCTTTTATTAAAATCTGATTCTATTCTCATAATATATCTAATATATTTGTTGGGAAATTTATTTGTTAATTTATCTATTTTGCAGGAAAGGATGTTGTTATGACCAAAGCTTGTTTACTTTATATGGGGATTCCATATTGGAAGATCTGGTGATTACTTTAGCAGATGGGATAGCGAGCACTTATTTGGAGCTTATTTCTGTTGATGGCAATTTGTCCGATGAAGTGAATGATCTGGGTTTAGCCATCTGTAGCTTATCTACTCGTGCACTCCAAAAGTTACGTAATGAGGTACAGTTGTTTTTCTTAGTGAGTTTAGTGGTAGCACCTGTTGGCCTTCAACTCCTTATTTTCATGAACATGTTTTCCACTTCTGCTTTTGTGCAAGTAAAATAATGAGGTTCTGTTGTGAGGTTTGATGGATGGACTGATTGAGCATATTAGGTATGCTGATTTAGTGCATGCACTAAGCAGGCCTATGTGATTGCTTATGGCAGAAATTATCAAGGCCTTTTATCTTTTCTTTCTTGTTCTTACCTCCTTTGCATGTTATTTCAAGCTCCTCATAGATACATGTTTGTAGAACTGTTTCTTTTTTTGTCAACGAATATGTATATCATGTTCTAATTATAAAGCTAGCATGGCATATTTCTAAATTTGGAACACTTCAATAGTGTTTATTTTCTGCTCTTATTTCAGATCAGTGATGTGGTGTGGAGGGAATTGTTTCTCATATTTGAAAGACTAAGAATTTCATTAAGCTTTCGTGTGATTTGAGTGCATGTCATTAATGTCTATGGTTATGGAGTGAAATCGTACGGATATGTTTGGTATGGATATATTTCATCAGGATTTTAAAGCATGTGCATATTAACAGGTAGCTTTAAACCAGTGGTTGTATCAAAATCTGGAGGCTATTGTATCAATGTATGAGGATCGCTTTGACCTCTACACACTTAAGAGCCAACTCATTGAGGAAAAAAGTAGTGATTCTGCTGAAACATATAGTTGGTGGAAGAAGCTTATGTTAAGAAAATATGAAAGTGCACCTACTTCATTGCAGTATGTTGTGATAAGTCATTTCTCAATGTCTGTAAAACGCACCAAGGAATTAAGAGCCCTGACAGGGTGGTATGTTTTCCACAACCTTTCACCTATAAATAATTTTCGTTGCTTGCATCCACTGTTATTAACAGAATTTTAGTGGATTTATATTATCTTGGATTAACATTGAAATTGGTTAGATACTTGGAAACAAAGATATGTCATGGCACTTGTAACTCATATTATTGTCTTTTTCAATTTATGTGGCTTGGATATGCCCCTCCTATATAATTGTCCCAGAGCACTTAAAAATTAGCTCTGCCGCACTGGTTTCATGCTTGAAGAGCCTTTATCATCTCAGATAGTGTGTGAAATTATAGAAACTGTGACACCAAACATGCTTTGGTGGAGTGGATTCATGGTGTGGATAAATTTTTTTTTTTCAGAAGTGGTGATTTCATTATTCATTATTAATACTTGGCCTTAGGGAATTCTGTTTGAGAAAGTTTCATGATGGTGATTGATAAGGACAACTGCAGTAGGTTGGCATGAAATAACAATTGTTTTTAGATGGTGGAAAAGGCTGTTGCCTTGATGAAAGTATACTGTCATTGAGTCATGAATATAGAAATTTATCTTGCTACTTTGGTATCGGCGTGGTCATCTGTATTTCTATATATGGATTTTATTTTAAAGCCTTAGCCCAAAGAAAAGTCTGAACTTCCTGGGGAGCAGAGTTAGGTTTTGTACTTGTAATAGACCAATAGCTTCCTTAGTTTGATCTGTTCTATCTATGCTAACATTGAAACCTTGTGACTCCCTGTAAAATTGTAAACTGACAAATCAGGGAATTGCAACACCTGAGGTCTATTCCACTCTTACCAAATATTCACAAAACAGTAGTTCTTTCTTAAGTTAAGGTAGGGATTTTAGTGAAAGAAGAAGCACGATAAAAAAACTACGGTTTTTCCAATTTTTTTACATGAATATTTAATTAATATGTAAATATAGTAGTGATGATTGGTTAAATATGCACATAAAGATTTTTTTCATTTATAGCCAACGAATACCATGAACAGGTTTAATATATTTTTTGATTCATAATGTTTATAAACTTGGATATTGGTTTAACTGAACAGTCTCTATGCTTATTACAGGAGGTACTATTTCAGTCTGTTCCTTGAGTTCTCTGACATTAGCCTGCCCATGGTTAGAGTAGTCATCGACAAAGTTAGCAATGCCATCTCATTTTTTCTAGTCTGCTTGATTGGGAGGTCATTGGGACTCATCTATACAGGAATTAGGCAGTCCCTCAAATGGAAATGAGATGTAAATGATACCTTATCTTTTTGTTGATTACAAATTTCTTTTATATTCATTTTTGCATGTTGTAGCAGTCTAGAGGAATGTGATCTGTGCATTGTTAAATTGGAAAGTTAATTTTCTGGCATTGGTGCATCCTGATGCTTCTCTAAATGTTTTGGTCAATAAATTTGGAGAAGCTGATTTAGTTCTATGGTAATAACACATCTATTGATGTGTGATTTTAACCAGATGGTTTCATTTCCATCTATTGTGGAGTTTGCCCTTTTCTTATGTTCGCGTGGCTTGTGGGTAGAAACCACCCCCGACTTGCCGTGTGCATGTTATGTGAGTTGTGCTTGAATTTGAGGGTCTCTTTGTTTCACATAAAAACATATTCCGGAAAATGATTTTTGGAAAATAGTTTTCAGAAATCATTTTTTGGTGTTTGGATGATTTTCTGTAAAAAAAATTCCGTTTGACAAATTTTTCGAAAATTATTTTCGATAAAACAATAACAATATATTCCTTTAAGAAAATGCTTATATATATATACAACTTATACAATTATAGTTTCATTTCATACTAGTGACGGATCTAAAAATTAAAAAATGGGGTTTCAAAATTTTAATACCCTATTCTAAAAATGTATGGGTATGCAAATTTTCTTATTTTTTATATTCTTATTAATAAATTAAATTAAATTTAATATTTTTCTCAAAATAATGAGTGTGCAATGGCTACCATGTACATCCGGTTTCATACTCAAGATGGTTTTTTTCCCTTAAGTTATTCTGTTCATTCTCGTATATAGAACTATTTTAACTTCATTAGGTTCCTTTCACTTTAAAATCTCTTATGTAATTCAGATTACAAATGGAGTTCTCCAAAGTACTGTAAATATATGTATGATTATATTACTGTGAAAGTAAATTGTTTAATATCTAACATATTCATAACAATTTCGATGAAACTAATAAACATAACAAAACCAACAGAATTGAAAACAATAAAATGAAGTTCAATTTCATTCGTTAACACTCTTTAAACCAAATTATAATAAAGTTAAAATTACATGCATCTCAATAAACTTTCTGTTTGACAAAGTTGTTAATTGAACAATATATATATATATGTAACGTCGATCGAATTAGATCTAAAAAATCCCATCTCAATCATCTTCTCTTCTTTGATTCATGTTTGTTTCACATGAATAAAGTAGCCAATAAAAGATCGAGTAAAAATTATTAGAACTTACTCTGATTCTTGTTAAAAATTGAAATATTTACAAGTTTTTCTTACCTCTGATCTATAGAAATGAAGAAGAAAAATGAAAGCTTTCTCTTTTTTTCTTCCTACTGAATTCAGGTCATGAATGAGAGGTGTGAATGGGGTTTATTCCACTGGTGCGAAAGAGAAAAAAAATAAAGAAAGCTAATGAATCAAGAGTGAAATCTTACCTGTTGTGTCGCTGATCAAAGAAAATTTTGATGAGACCACTAGCGGGGAGAGAGATAGGGCAGGATGATGTTTTTCTAAATGCAAGAAAGCACAGAGAGAATTGTAAAATGACTTACCGAAAATTAGAGTGCAAGTCATTTTAACGTAAAACACGCCTTTTTTTTTCCTTTGATCGTAAAATAATTTACATTGACTCATTTTCTTTCACACAGTCGAACACTGGAAAACATAGAAAGTGTTTTCCGTAAAATATTTTACCCCAAATAAACGGACCGAGTTTGAGAACCTATGGATGTGTTAACCACTTTGATAAGTGATTTTGGTGAAGATACAAGTTGAAAAGAAATATAGTTTAATTATATTAACATCTTTAATCACATTATTGTTTCTTGAATCTTGATTGATTGAGTCTGATTCTACATGTGTGTTGAATTTTTCTTTATGTTTCTGAAGGAAAATTGGTGGGAACACAGGCATGTGAAAGTGACTGGTACAGTGACTTCTACTTTTGAAATGATTGACTAAAGTTAAAAGGTACATTACAGAAGATAATCTCTCTCTCTCTCTGCCCTACTATCTTTACATGATAAATCTCTATTGCTGGGAAACTTGTTATTATACATAAATCAATTCATGATCTGTTACTGAGAAAAACTAGGGTTAGTGAGCTTAGGGCGATGAGTTCTACTTGCTCTATGAAAGAGGAACACACTTCTGTTCTGGGGTTTTTCTCTCCTCTTCGTTGCAGATTCGCACTTATCCATGCAACGTTTTCTTATCAATGGTTTGAGGTTTGACAAAATGGTCAGAAAAAGGGCTTTGCCTAAATGTGGTGGATGAAGCATCACTGTCCAAACTGATTAAGAGAGACAGTTCTGGAAATACAAAAGACTGGGTGTTGAAACTCTCTCACGAGGAATTGTGGTGAAAACCCTTTTCTTAATATGAAATTGGCCAGGATTGCTGTTTGAGACTGAGATTGCTTGCAAGAAGTGGATGGAATCTCCTTGTTTTTTCCCTTAAAAAGCTAACACTCTTAGGTAGGACGTGCAGATTGTTTTAATTGCCATAAAATTCAAGCCTGCATCAAACATAAAATAAAGGTGATAATTTTGCCTCAATATATGTCAATAATGCTCAATCACATCTTGACCCCATTTTTGATGTATTCTTCTTCTTCTTCTCTTTCCTTGGTTATTAGTTTGGTCAATAATTGCCACGAAAAGTTGCTACAGATCTCCATTATTTAATACTTGAATGACCTTCATATGTTGTTCAAATTCTCTCTTAATGCACTGATAAATAATAGCAGTGATAATGAATAAGGTGAGCCCAATTTGTTGACATTTTTGGCCACAACAGATGTCATTGGATCTGCTGCTAACTGTCATATTACTTGCTTTATCTACGCATAACTTTATGTTAAGACCTAAAGAACGAGTTTTATATTTAATAATTTACTTGTAAGACGTTGAAATCATCCCTGATTAATTGGCACCTAGCAAACTGGACGTCATTGACTTGTTGCATGGCAATGGCATCCCCCTTGGTTATGGTGACGTAAATAGTTCCTTTCTTTTCTACCTACACTCTTAACCAAAAGCAAATATATTATATATGGTGAGTCGGTTTTTGGTGTCTAAAATTACTACTCTCTCCTTTCAATTCCATTGGGAAAACAAAAAAAGTAAATTAACAACGTAATTTTGATGCATCATCAATGCTTAATGCCCTTTGCTTTGCTTTCCCAATTCCCATGGCTGGTCTGCTCTTTTTTCACTTTTTTTCTTAGGGATTCCCAAAATTACTAATCATACTTTGGTTGTTATTCCAGACAAAGCACTGCTTTGAACACCTTTGCCATCACTCTCTTTTAAGATTTTAGGAGATATTTACTGATATATAATATTAAAATTTAAAGACTATCACCGATAAGTTCTTCTTGAATGAGTTTCATAAGACAGTGATAGTATTTTGAGTGAGATTTTTTCGTATTAATCTCTCTTCAACAAGATCGTCATCGTCACTATTTTCGTCATCTTGTTTGATATGATTCTTCTCAATTTCAAATATAATCAAACCTCAACTATAAGATATCTAACAATCTCATTTTTTTTCCAATTATATATATATATATATCTTTAAAAGCTCTTATCATTGGCCTTAGCTCTCAAATCACTATTAATTAACTTTTAAGTAATTGGTGGACTTGAGTTTATAATAATTTTCATCTAAAGCTGGGGTGGATAATTCCAACCTTGAAAAATAATCATCCAGAAATCTCTATATAATTAATCTCTTAACAAAGAAGCTTGAATATGTTATCATATTCGTCTAGAATTTAAAAACTTGATTTTCCATTCACTTTCGGAGAAGCTTCTTTCTGTGATTTGTGTAGATCTGGGTTTCTCTCCCATCCTCCTTGCTGGTTCATGGATATTGAACCCTGGTGGGCTCTTACTTGATGAGTACATGGCAGCACCACCATCAAAATCCCATGCAAAAACCCACTTTCTCCTCATCACCCTCACCCTTTTCTTCCTATTTCTGCTCATACTTAACCCTACTATAAACCCCACAAACCCATCGTCCTCAAAATCCACTTCTTCAACCATGAAAGTCAGGCAAACTCCCAAACCCCACACCACTTCTTCTTCACGTAGACAGTTTGGATTTGAAGCTCACGAAGTTCCAAGCGGTCCATACCCTATTTCCAATAGGTAATCCAAAGTTTGAAGATTACTGAGTCGTACGGAAAGGGTTAATGTTTATTTGGTTCGTATATCTTTATGAGTACTGTTCAGTTCCGCCATTGTTACTGTGAGAAGGGCATGCTACATTGTTGTCATTGTCATGAGCATTACTTTGTTTAATTATTTTTATTTGTTTTCCCCTTTTTAGATATGTGTTTTAATTTTTAAGAAATCTTATATGTTTTTTTATTCAACATAAAAAATAATATTACATTATCATTGGAAAAGATAAAAAATGTTACGTAAGCAGCTCTATTAATTTTTTTTTAAAAATAATTGGTGACTAAAATGAAACAAATTTAATAGTTTGGATACCGAACGTGTAATTTCTATAAATATTATTTTTGACAAAAATGTTTTAACGTATTTATAACCTAAAGCTAAAGTGAGACTATGGCAGCAGTTGGGTAAAAAAAGAAAAAAAAACACTTGAAACATTTGGTAAAAAATAATTAATTTAATTTAGGGAAATTACCCAAATAGTCACCAGACTATACCTTACTTTTAATTATGCTTCTCGATCATGAAAAACAATAAAATGACCATTTTAATTAACGAGAAATTGTCTGTCCAGCTCAGTTGGTAGAGCACAAGACTCTTAACCTTGGGGTCGTGGGATCGAGTCCTACGGTGGGCAATTCATAATTCGGAGGTCTCTCACGGAAGTTTCTCTCAACCTGGTGTTGGGGCAGCCTACTATCTTACCTCCCCTTACCCCATTACATATGGGAATAAGGGTCAGCTAATTTTTTTTTTATTTGCTAAAGAATTAATCTTAGAATCAAATGAGCTTTGTTCCCAAGTTGATTTGGACACAAACAGCTGCAAAAAATCAACAGCTACAACTCCATTGTTCTTCTATGTCCATCCCTTTCAAGCTTTAAATCCAAACCAGGAAATATCAACCTTGAAGTCATGGATAAATCGAGAGAGCTGTTCGGGTGCGGTCACATCCGCTGAAAATTTCAAATTCCTCTATAGTTTAGATATTTTCTATTGATTATCCAATTTCATACCCCTAAAATAATGTATAACGTTTTAAGTTTGTATCCTAATATAAAATTATGCCCCTATCCATGCTTAAATTCATTGTTGGCGTACCTTGAAAAAGCTTGCTAATTAGGTGGAAAAAAATCAGCTCAAAATCTGTTTTCAAACTGTATTTTTTTTTTCCAGCAATGTCCAACATTGGAAGCTGTAAAGACAAACCCTTTAAACTCTGCTACATATTAAAAATAAGTAGTCTCCAAACCTTGGCGAAAGCCATCGTATTTATATCGTAATTTTTAACCTATAGAAGCAGCAAATGATCCCTTAAAAGGTTAGCTAAAATGAAGGAACAAACAAGGTGGTGTAAGCCATTTTAGGAAGGAATGGAAATATTGAGCTGAAAATAGAAGAGAGAACTCCAGTTGTTTACTTGGTTTTGCTGGTTTAGATGGCAAAGCAATAGGGCTATGGTGTAATTTAAGACACCAGAAGAAGCAACAATTGATGTGCTCTGGATTTGTCCAAGTTCAATAGGTGGAGCTTCAACGGGTTGTTCCATGATCCTGACGGTGGAAAGGTTGTTGTTGACAAGGGGAATAACCTATTTCGAGGCGGAGGTAAAAGATCGGAAAAAATTACTGAAATATTCTAGCTATATTTATTAAGTTTTAGATATTTTTTAGTGCAATGAACGTCGTGATGAATTTAGGAGGCCAATGTCACGAGGAATGTGAAATTTTTTAGATCAACAATCACTGTATCTAATGATCGTCAATGAGAAGTGACAATCGATACGATGATTTTCTTATCGATTTTTGAGTTTTAATTAGAGAGAAATATTGAGTGAAATGGGAAGAAGAAAAATGAAAGAAAAAAAACTTGGAGATGTTCTTAAAATTAAAATCAAATTAAATAGACTATTATACTAATTTTATTAATTATTACATCATTTTAAAAAATTAACTTATTACTTCTTGTTAATTAAAATGATAATTTCTTAAATTAAAGACGACAGGTGTTTCATACGTCTTCAATTTAAATATAAAGACTCTACGACTACATGATATTTTAAGACAAATAAAGAATACCTCACGATTGTATATATCTTCATACAAATAAAAAAAACCTTAAGAGTGCACGACGTCTTCATTTTAATAAAAATAATTTAGTTAAGAAAATAATATAGTGAATGTCTAGGGAAATTTATTTTTTTTTCACAACGGCGAGGAAGGACAAAAGGGTGCATGGTGCTTCCATTCCTTTGAATTTGAATTTGATATTACCCCATCCTATGCTTTCTTCATTATTTCCTTATCATTTTCATGTTGAATTTGATATTACCCCATCCTATGCTTTCTTTTGTTTTTTTTTTTTTTGTTGTCCCTTGATCCCATATGTAATGGGATAAGGGGGAGGTAAGATAATAGGCTGTTCCCAACACTAGGTTGAGAGCAGCTTTCGTAGGAGGCTTCCAAATTATGAAATTCTCTCCATGAGACTCGATCCCACGACCTCAAGGTTAAGAACCTAGTGCTCTACCAACTGAGCTGGATGGTCATTTTGTTATCCTTCCAAAATTTTAGTTTAATTTCTATAGTTATAAAAATATTATATTTTTTGAAGTTTTAAATTCGAGTAATTATGATTTTAAGGTATGTATATATTGTTAATGATTGAAAAAAAAATATGAATAAATATTACATTGTAATCACTCTAGATTATTTTAAAAAAATATCTTATAGTCGAAAATAATTTTATAAATTTTAATAATTGATGACTCAACAAAACAACGTCTTACGTTAGGGGACTATTTTATGTACTTTATTCTACATAAAAATAGATATTATGAATTGATAAAATAAATTTTATGATTTAATATATTATTAGAGTTTAATATCATCATATGATATTAAATAATTTCATCGTGTATCTATATCTATACTTTAAATAATTTTATGTTAGAATTTATAGAAGAGTTTTATTATTTTATTTTGAATTTATTTAAAATAAATGGTAGAATTTTTTTTAAACAAAAAGTTGTTTAAATTATTAATTAAATATTAATTAATGATGTGAAAATGTATTAAATAAAAACATCAATTTTAATTTATTCGTTATAATTAATTAACGACCGAAGAAATTCTTAAAGATCAACCCCCAATACAACTCCTCCTCTACTGCAATCATATTGTCATCCTAAAGAAGATATATATATATATATATATATATATATATTCTGGTTTCACCTTCTTCTTCAAAAGGGAATTTCGCAGGAGAACTGTAAAACATAAATCAAAACCCTCCGACAGTGGAACCAAAGGCAAGAGAGAAAAACAATGAGCATTTTGACTTGTAAATGCATGAAGAACACAAACCTTTAATTTATCCGTATCATTTCTAACCAACAAGATAACAGTAGTTGGTTGTTCTGGGATTTCTTCATAATTAATGTTGCTAGTCTAGGTTAGATTTTGTTTCTCTTTTTTAGTTAGGAAGGTTAAGTTTTTTAATTATCTTTTTAGGAGCTAAGATGTTATAACATTAATCGAAGTGGTTATTGATGCGTTTGTGATTAAATTCCAGCACATCCTTGGGTTTGTCTCACCAAATTTTGGGATTCATAGAACACATAAAAAAAAGGAGTTTTCTGATTCAAAATCCAAACAAAAATGGGTTGTCTTCCATGTTTTACTTCCTCAGAAAATAAGGCAGCTAAAAGGCAAAATAGTTCCTGCAGAAATGGTCAGATTTGTGATAATTATTCTTCTCCAGTTCAAGCTTTCCTTCCCCCTGGTAATGTCAATTTCTCTGATCTTCGTAATATCCCATTTTTTTTCCTTTGAAAATGCATGCAATATTGAATGAATGATCTTTCTTTTCAACAGAGTATATTCCTAAACCGAAGCTTTCAGAAACTACTGGCCATGGCAACATTGCAGCCGAAACTTTCACCTTCCGGCAATTGGCAACGGCGACCCGGAACTTTAGACAAGAATGTTTGATCGGGGAAGGCGGATTCGGTCGAGTTTACAAAGGAAAGCTTGATCGAACTGGCCAGGTATATTGCATAGTTAGTTCTTCAATGGAACTCTTTTGATTCTTTCATTCATAATTCAAGGATTTAAATAACAGTATACTATCGGAATAGCGGCCGTTATATAATAATAAAGGTGCTGTCTGAAATAGTTATTGCACAACCTTTGTAATGGCCACAATAACACCCATTGCAATCGATCGAGAAACTCACTTCGTGTTTACTTCATTTTAGGTTGTAGCTGTAAAGCAGCTTGACAGAAATGGATTGCAAGGAAACAGGGAATTTCTTGTTGAGGTTTTGATGCTGAGCCTGTTGCACCATCCCAACCTGGTCAAGCTCATCGGATATTGCTCCGATGGCGACCAGAGGCTTTTGGTTTACGAGTACATGGCATTGGGATCTGTTGAGGATCATCTTCTCGGTATACTTTGTTTCTTTCTTCTTTGAATTCAAAGGAAGGGTATGCATTTGTTAATGAATTGTTTATCTTCCGAACTTATAGATATTAGCCCAGGCCAGAAGCCATTGGACTGGTATGCCAGAATGAAAATAGCGGTAGATGCCGCTAAAGGCCTTGAATATTTGCACGATCAGGCGAATCCTCCGGTCATCTACCGCGATTTGAAGTCCTCGAACATCTTGCTGGATGAAGATCTCAATGCCAAACTGTCCGATTTCGGGTTAGCAAAAGTTGGACCTCTAGGGGACAATACACATGTATCTTCCAGGGTCATGGGAACATATGGATATTGTGCCCCAGAGTATCAAAGAACAGGACAATTAACGGTGAAATCCGATCTTTATAGTTTCGGAGTCGTTTTGTTGGAGTTGATCACTGGAAGGAGAGCCATCGACACCACGAGACCGAACAAAGAACAGAATCTAGTAATATGGGTAAGCTCACTTAGTTTCCAATACACAATCAATGTCTTCTTTTTATTCTGTTCTAATCTTTTAACCATTTCCAGGCTCAACCAATGTTCAAGGACCCAAGTAGGTTCCCGGAACTCGTCGATACCCTTCTCAGTGGCAATTTCCCCGTACTAGGTTTGCGGCAAGCCGTGGCAGTGGCGGCCATGTGCTTACAAGAGGAAGCCGAGGTACGCCCCTTGATTAGAGATGTGGTTGGCGCTCTGAGTTGCCTTGCAAATGATCCAGATGAAAACACAAAAACAGACTCGGCTGCTTCCTGTTCGGCTTCTGTGGAATCCGACGGTGAAAGTTATGACGATGAATTTAGCAGGGAAGAACGGCAACGAGCGGTGGCGGAAGCCATTGAATGGGGTTAATTTCGCGCAACATTGGCAGTACACACGCTCGAGCTCGAGGAGTGCATATATTGTTGTAAGATATTTGTTTGTTTATGTAACTTATGCACACAAATGTGGTAAAAAGTACCACAACAGTCCCTGTACTATTTCTAAAATTCGATTTTGATCCTTCGAATGGAAAATATGATAAATCTGTCCCTGTACATTCCTAAAAGAGCATAATAGTCTCTCCGTTAAAAGTTTCACCCATCTAGCATTGATCCTTGGTGTAACAATTATATTAAAATAAGACAATGATTTATTCACCAAAAGAAAATAAATAAAGACAATTTTTAAATATATTTTTCAAAATTATTTTATATATTTAAAAATCATAATAACTTTTTTTATAACCACTTGTATTAAATATATATATATTAGGGTTATTGAGAAATGGTCTATTGAGCATATATTGTTTTCAACTTGAAGTTTGAATCTTTACTATTGTAATTCTACTGATTTAGTCCATATATATTTTATAAAAGCAAGTTTTAGGGACAATTTTTATAATTGTATTAAGATTTTACCTTTAACTTGGATGATGTGGATTTTACCGAGCACCTGATATGTTGGGGTAAATTCAAATTTTTTGACCCTAAAAAAATATTATGTTTATTTTACTAAAAAGTAATTAACATTTTGGTACTTTTTTGTTATTTAATTTGCTACTGAGAAAATTTCATGGAAATAGGTTATTCAATATTTCCCATATCACTTTTATATTCTACTAATTGCTTAATGTTATTTACTTATTCTAAATATAAAATTATATATTTTTTAGATTTTTTAATGTTACTTCTATTTGTTTTCAAGTTTAATAACTGTATTTCACGTGACAAGTCATTTTTTTTAAATATTCCATACCCTAGAATTAATTCATATATCATTTATATTTGAACAAATATGGATGATTTCAATTCATGAAATTTACCAAAATATGATAAAATTTAGCAAAATAATTACACTAAATTTGCTAAATTTAAATTTATTAAATGTAAGTAAAGGAGAAATTGTCTCCATTTTTGATAAAGTCATTATGGGTCTGTTTGTTTGTCGTTATTAGAATTACGGAATTGGTTTTTCTCGAATTCCCGTGTTTGTTTCACGTAATTCGTTTTTCGAAAAATATTTTTCAGTGTTTGTTTCTCGTAATTGGTTTTCCGGAACGTAATTCATTTTCCTAATAACAAAATTTCCTTTGTGTTTTCTGAAAAATGACTTACGAATTCATTTTCCGTAAGTCATTTTTCGAACTTTTCACTTCAAAGAATAAATACTCAAAATAATTTTATTTTATGAATTTAATATTAATAAAATATTTTAATATCATTTTCATCAAAATATTATTTATTTATTAATATTTATAATAATAATATTATATTTTTAATATTATATAAATAATCAATTATATTATAATAATATAAGATATATATTTTATTTTAATAATATATATAAAATTTTATATATTTAATAATGAATAATATTATATATTTTAATAATATTTAATAAAGATATTTAAAATATACTAATTAATATTTTTAAAATATAATATACTTTAATAAATAATTAATATAATTTATAATATTTTATTTCACTAAAATATACCAATATTAATATTTTTATTAATAAAATTATAAAAATAATATTTAATAATAAATAAATTATTTTAATATTTTAAAATAATAATATTAAATCTTATGATAAATAATATTATTTATTATATTTAATATTTGTAATAAATAATTTTTAAAAAACTCTTCAACTAGTGGTAAAAAGCTTTAAAAAACATCTTCCAAACATCATAAAACGTTTTTCAGAAGTTTTTCAAAAAAATGTAATTCATTTTACGTAAAACATTTTCTGAAAACGTTTTCCAGAAATATAATTCATTTTCCAGAATTCAAATTCCAATAATTCAAATTCCAATAATTCATTTTCCGAAAAACCAATTACACCCAAACAAACAAATAGACTCTTAAATAAACCAAAGAAAAGTTGCATACAACGGTCGGTCAGTTTTAGTAAAGTTGCATACAACTGTCGGTCATATTTTCCACGTGCCAGTCAGCTGTACGGTATTTCGTTAAATAATTCCAAATTTGACATAATTCACTGATTTTTTTTTTTTCAAATACCATATTTTGATAAAAGGAAAACAATCCCCGAATCAATTAAATCTATAATATATTTTGATTATTCCAAACAAGTCCGATGGACTTGCAATGCAATTACAATTACAATGCAGAGCATGAAAGCAACCCTCAATGACCCTACGACCTTCACAAATCATATTCCAACCATTCAATATAACTTTGGAAAAACTCGAACCATTTTTTAAATGAAATTTCCAAGGTAGATGCTGGACCTGCAAGAAAAACACTTTGTTTCTTCTTTCCTGCTTCTAACTCTGTGGCATTGCAACATTCAAGTGCCCGTATTTCTGCATCACTTTCCTAGTTGCCAATGCTGCTGCCTCACTAGCTCGCAATGTTCCGGTCGCCATGATAGCAGCAAATTCGCGGGTTATTTCCTCTTGGATCTTGGCTCCAGTATCTCCGAGAGGGTCTGCTGCAGTTCCACCAGTTTGAGATTTTCCGTGCGCTCCAGCTGGATTAGAAGGCGATGTCTTGATTTCCTCAGATTTTGGTTGTTCCCTGTCTTTCACCTTATTGTCAACCTCTTTTTGATGTGTAATATTGGAGGGCCTGTTCACATTGACAGTGGTGGACTGAGATGGTTGAGCAGATACAGAAGGGGTGAATTGGGGAACTTGAGGAACAGCACCAGCTCTCAATGTTGTCTCCAAATTCTGTATCATAGGCACTGTATTTTTATAATAATAATAAAAAAAACTTGCCATATTAGCACCACATATTCAAATAAAGTTTCATAGTTCAAAAGGAATGAAAGGAAAATTTTACGCAATCACGTGTGTAGTGAAGGATCCAAAAATAATTTTGAAGGTGAGCACACATATATTAACAACATAAAATTTTGATACATGGATGTGCACAAATAAAATCTCATGACGGAAACAATCAATAAAACAAACAACATAAAGAAATTCATATTTCGGAGCGGGCATGGACGTTGTGCATTCTTCATAACTTCAAAAAAGTAGCAACTAAACAAATATGATTCCAGAAATAATGATTCAAAAGGTAAAACATTTAACAATTCTAATTCCAGAAACAATTCAATTTGTTCCCCTTCGAAGTTCAAAGACTTCAAACTACCAGGTTTCCAATTTCCGCCATGTTCAATATTTTCAAGTTACATATTTTCTACCATGTTACCAATTTGATGTTTTTAATAAGCGAAGTAAAAGTGATTACCCGATCCAAACAGAATATTTTGAGGACAGATAATAACTTACTTAAAAGTGCACCCATGGGACTGCTCATAACTTCATTTGGAAGCAGCAAGATATAGTCTGGAATGCCTGAACCAACTAGAAATTGGGCAACCTCATTGCTGAAGTCGTTGCAATTGTGGGTGAGCAAACTGTAGGTCTCAGCAGTGTAACGAGGACTAATCTCCTGCAAATAACTCAAACACATCTTTAGGTACATGCGTGATTCCTAATTCAATCACTCTAATCGGTCTTCCATATGGTGTTGTCCCAACAGGAGCATGTTGGATTCCTCCACCAAAATAGTATTCATTACCATAAACAAAAACTCCTGTGTGCCTACCAAGCAAACAAAAATGACTGGACCTAAGTCAGAAAATTCGTATCAAGAAATGCATCTGCGAACCTCATACAATTAGGGATGACAAACGGATACAGTTTCGTGGATTCCGTACCGCATCCGCTCCAATTGGAGCGGGGATGGGTATAATTTTAGCGGGTAGTGGGCGGGTGTGGATTTATAAAGTGATACCCGTCGTGGGTGGTGGGTGGGTAATGGGTTTAAGACATTACCCGCCCCGCATCCGCCCGCCCAGCTAAATATCTATTAAATTTTGGACCATTATGAATTTAGGTGTAATTTTAGAGACTAATTTATAAATTTTAATATTGTATAATATATAACATATAATTTAACCAAATATTAAGGATATTTAGTCTTTAATCTGGTCTTTAATTAGAGAAATATTCGACTCTTTGATTAAACTCATAATCCCACTTTCCATGTTCTTTATCCCATGCTACCCATCCAAACACAAATTAGCCGTACTATAAGCATTAACATCAAAAGCAGCAGTTTCCATGTTCTTTAGCCCCTCAAAACCCATATTAGGCGCACTATGAGCATTAACATCGAAAGCAACACAACAATCCAGCTCTGCGACTACATGCTCCCTACAATCTGTCTCCATAACATTCGTAGAGCCACTCCTCTGACAAATTGAAGCATGCGTTGCTACCCCATCACGAACTGTCTGGGAACCAACTCCAACATCCCATTAGTTTGCTGTCAGGCGGGTCTAGATGGGTATGTCGCTAGTGGATAGTAGGTGTGGGGATGGATTTGAAAATGTACGCGAGTGGGCGGGTGTGGATTTGAAAATTTATACCCGTCATGGGTGGTGGGTGGGTGGTGGATTGAAAAATATTAGTGGGTATGAGGATGGGGGAGGGGGTATCCGCACCCGACCTGCCCGATGGTGGATGACTTTATGCAACAAAGAGAAGTAGAATAACTTCAACGAAAAAAATGGGGGGATGGAGTATAGACAACCATTGAAAATAAGTTTCCAGCCAAGCTAACATGCTGTAAGAAAAACCTCAAAGAAATAAAACTAATTTTCACTAACACGCCCCAACTGATCCCGTATTGAAATGAAGATGCAGCAGGTTACTAGTCAAAATCAGACGAAGTTCTGGCTCAATAACGCAAAACAGGTAAAATACAAAACTACCTGCAAACTCCTACAAATAATGAAAGGAATGTTCAGTTTGTTAAGATAGTACAAAAATATGGTTCTATCCTGTAAACAAGTAGTTTATAACTCTAAGGTTATAAAACATGCATCTAACGTTTACCAGCTGATGAAGGTTCTATTTGTTTATGCATTAACTCAATTTAATTTGGAGAACTATTACTCATTTAACCATAATAAAGTGAGCTTATGTGTTCATTGCCACAATTCATAACCTTAGGGATATAAAGACAATAAATTTCTTATGCGTCCATATTTATACATGCATAAGCATGATGAGGCCTTTAGACACTTCCTGCAAAGCAAAATCATTTTAACAACTTATGTCTAAGATGTAAAATACATGATAATAAACATGCTCAAGAAAATTTGACTTCAATAAAAAATCTCACATCAAGATACAGTCTTTCCCCTTCAAATTAAATGCTTACCATATTCCCTCAATAGCAGCCTTCCCCAACAAGGTTGTTGAAAGCTGCCGAGCAAGTCCTTGGCTCAAGGCGGACACATTCAAGGTAACATTATGAACCTCCTGTCATCAATTCAATGTACCTGTTAGTTCACAGATAATCTTTGACGTAACATTTACCAGACCAAATAAAATTATTGTAAAGCATACTAAAAATAAAATCCTTGGAAGGCATACTATAAGAACAGGTGAAGAAATGCAAAGAGAATACTAACAGAGAGCAAAGGAAAGAATCAAACGTAAGTTGAAACAAATGAGAAGAATTAGATACCTCAGCCATGCCTGCAGTTCACTGTGAACGCTCTTGCTAGGAAATCATGCATCGAGCGACACTAGGAGGTTCAAGTAGCTCGGTTATGATTCGAGTGACTATATAGTTTCATTGATGACAACGTACAAACGATGATTAGGTAAAAAATGATTTTGTTTGATATAATTTAGGAATGACGTGCAACGACATAATTTTGAGTGACAACATACGATGACAAGAAGACGATCGATCATTGAGAGTGTGATGGTAGTTGATTCAACGATGACATATGTGATCTAGAGATTTGAAGTTAAAAATTTATGAGATTTTGGATAATCTAAAAATTTTATGAGTCTTTCTAGATAATTAATTATTTTAAAAAATATAATTAAATAAATTTAAATTATTATTATCTGTGATTGAATGACATGTTTTAATAACGGTAATTAACAGCTAAACACTTTAAATAATAACTTTAAAAACATTTCACTTACTTGCCAAAAAAGAATCTCTAAATGCTTAAAATAAAAATAAAAATTAAACATTTATCCTTCAATTAACTTCTTTAATATAATTATTTAAAGTCACAATATCACGTGGAACCACCTTCTCGAATACAATTGGTCAATTACTGAGGATGAAAAAGAAAAGGTGATAGGATGCAAAGTTCACTTGGTCTTTTACCACCCCACCCACCCACCAAATTACGGACTGGAAGTGAGTTCAATGGATTCCTTCCAAACGTGTCCCATGGAACACCACTCTGCCGATACTGAGCAAATTTCAGACGGTTTCATTTGTTGCGTTTGTTTGTAAGTAATCCTCATCATCTTCAAATCATTCAATGTTTCTTGCAAGCTGCGATCTTTTCCTTTTCATTTGATTTTTGGAAAATACCCAAGCTATTTTTTTTTTCATTTGCAGGGATCTTCTTTACAAGCCAATAGTTCTGCGTAAGATTCTTCTTTGCTAGTTTTATAGAAAGATCTATGAATTTTATGCTTTTGTTAATGTTTAATTCTTTTTATTGATTGATTCAGTTTTTTTCTTTTCCTTTCAAAATACACAGATTGTGGTCATATATCATGTTTCTGGTGCGTTCATAGATCAATGAATTCTCGACACGAGTCTCGTTGTCCAGTTTGTAGAAACCCGTATGCTCATTTTCCAAGCATCTGTCAAATGCTTCACTTCTTGTTCTTAAAGTTGTACCCAATTACATACAAAAATAGGGAAGCTCGGATTCTAGGTAAGCTTGGTTTTTTTTTTGTTCTATTTCACGTGTTGTCCTATTTGTTTTCATGGCTGTGCTTTATAAAGATAAGTATTAGCAAATTAAATATTGCTTCTCGGTATAATGTTCAAGAAAAGCATTTGATTTCATAATCGATAGTTCTATATGACTAATTCGTGTTTTCCATTGAAACCGTCTGCTTATGTTTGCCACGCTTATATGTGGTGGATTGTGGTCTGAATTGTTGTAGATAGTTTGAGATATTCTCACTGTAGCTAGTGCAGTACTATGCCTATATTTTTGGACATATTGTTGCTTTTGTTGCTACAGAGGAGGAAAAGCAAAGAGACTGCTTTTCGCCAGAATTCAGTGGTCATGCATGTGGATCGGAGGCTGATGGGGAAATTAATCTCCTCGGAAGCCCTTCAAAGTCTTCTAATTTTTCAGACTCTTCTTCTACCAGCAAAGAGGAACTTAATAAACCTGTTGGGCAGATAGAGTCTCGTGTTTCCGGGGAGGAAAATGATCAGATTTCAATTGTGGATGTGCTATGTACTGCTTGCAAGCAATTGCTTTTTCGTCCTATTGTTCTTAACTGTGGCCATGGTATGCCTCTAAAATTTCTTTTTATTAACATTAGCATACTGAGCCTCCGTTTCCTGTTATTTATGACATATTTTATTCTTTTGACAGTTTATTGTCAAACTTGCATGAGTATCCTGCTGATGAGATGCTTAGGTGTCAAGTTTGTCAATGTTTGCATCCAAGGGTCTTCCAAAAGTCTGCTTGACACTCGATCACTTTTTAGAGGCTAAATTCCCCAACGAGTATGCACTGAGAAAAGATGCTATTCAGCTCAAACAAGCTTCTTCCATGCATGTTAGACCATCCACTTGTATGTCTCAGTGCTCGACTGATCTCATCTTGTTCTAGGTCTATCAAGTTAACACTTCGGTTAGCTGACATATTTTCGGTTCCACCATTTTTCCTGCTGATTTGTTTATTGCCAAAATTTTAAGGTTAAAATGGAAGCATGTGATTACTAATTCAATATCCAATGTATACTAAATTCTTTGTCAGTCATGTTGGTAAAATTGATCTTAAAATGAGTTTGATAGACTGATAATGCTATAATTGTGCTGCATCAACTTCGAGTCCTCCAGTAGTTATTATGTTTGAATTTTTCAGGTTCAATGGAAGCTGGTAAAAGAGATTTCTCACCTGTCCAGTCACCCTCAGGAGTGGATCCTCATCCCCATACTCATATTGGAGTTGGTTGTGATGCTTGTGGGGTAACACTTTGCTAACTGTCTCTTATATGCGTGCATGTGTATATGTATGATCTGGAGTTACTCCAATTCAGCCTCTTCAGAAATTTATCACCATAAATAACATTGCCCATTCTACAAAGTTTTAAAAACAGTCTTCCTTTATTTCCTTTCATAATTTCTTTTACCTAACTAAAATCATTTGTAAATAGTCTAATGGAAACTTAGAGTGCTAGTGTATACATATATGTACATGCTTTGCTTTGGCGAGTGCCTTTTCTTCTTTTTCCTAGCACTCCTTGGTTAATCCCGTCAATAGTTGCTGGGTTTTGAAATTTGAAAATTGTATTGATGACGTTAGAGGAATGGATAAGTTGCTCTCTATTGCTTCTGGATTCAGTGTTTGTTGGTTTTTGTTAAGAGCTTTTCAAGCAACATGTTGACCTAACCTAATGCATAACGGTGAATGATTAAATTGCTTTGAATTGCTAAACTGATACTTATTTCTACGGTATAATAGTCATTGCTTGTACTGGCAGATGTGTCCAATAGTTGGGGATAGATACAAATGCAAGGATTGTACAGAGAAAATGGGATTTGATCTTTGTGGAGATTGCTATAAAACTCGACCTAAGCTTCCAGGCAGGTTCAACCAGAGACACACTCCAGATCATAAGTTTGAGCTTATAAAGCGAGACATTACCCAAAGGTTGAGGCTGTTGACTGAACAACTAGAGAATGGTTCTACTTCTATTATCCTCATCGATGAATCTTCGGATAATCTGGAAAATGGACTAGCATCGAGCACTATTCAAGAAAATATTCACAATAATCTACCTGCGTTGTATTTTGAGATTGATAGCATGGAAGATGAGGATGAGGATGAAAATGAGGATGATGATGATGATGATGATGATGATGGTGATGATGATGAAGATGGAGATATTGGTGCTCTATTGGTTGATTGATATCCGTTGTAGTAGTGATTGGAAGTGGTGAATTACTTGTAGATCTTGTTTTTTCGTTAAGTAACATTCAAATCCCATCTTTACAACAAAAACCTTGTTGAATTTTTTCTCGTTATTCGTATGTATATTATATTATCCATATCTTTGCCTTCTCATGCATTTCAACTTGAAGCTACCCTTGGAAATTGTATGTGATTGCTCATATGCTTGGCATTCTGAATGATATAATCATTGTTTTTTTTTAGTTGAACTAATCAGTTGAACTGCCTGAGCCTATGATCAAAAGATATGATCAATTTAACTTTTAATCCTGCTTTTTAAACATTGGTGCCAACTTTATATTGAGATTTTTAAATACATTGGTGACTTTCAACCCAATATTCTGTATAATATATAGCTTTCAAACCATAGATATAGACATACTTCCATCTCTTGTAAATAAATTAAGACAGTTTGTTGACTAGGAACTAGAAAGGCAAAACCAATGATGAAACACTGATAAATTGGTTCATGAAAATATATATCCACATGATGATGAGTTAATGAAGTGCCAACAAGGAACAAATGCTTCCAACTATTTTGATTTACAATTCAAATGCATTGCTTAAGATGCAGTCTAGAGTCCTAAGAAGAAGAAGAAACAGGTTGCACCCATCTCCCCGTAGAGAGAGAATCATAGGACTTCTTCAACATGTGAATTTAGTTGTTCTCAACTTCCCGATCTGCATTAATTTTGCTTCAGTCGCATTTAAATGCAAGTTCACTGCTCAAGATGACAGTAGACGATGATCATTTTACCACTCGAAATGAGCATACATTTCTGTGCTGTTGCTAAATAGACTTATAAATGCTCGTTACCCTGCAGGATGGTAAATCTGGATCATGGAGTCAGTGGTGTAAGACTAGCCGCTTGGTTTCTTTCTGCCATTTCAACTTCATATGCACCCGTATCTGATGTTTTCTCATTCGTCATAGCAAGGCTTTTCAGTTTAGTACGTTGTATGGCATGCAGCTCATATCTGATAAACACAAAGAATATCATTTCAGCTTGGATTCATTTGGTTTTGCATGAATTAGTGGATAACTTTGATTAATATGGAACGCTAATAATCTTTACATAATGAACCAGTAGCCAACAAAAAGACCAACCTCATTTGGAAAGGAAACTTTACCGCACAGACCAATTTGGGAAAACTAAAAGTGCAAAGGTGATATGTCAGAAAGGACCAAACAACATGGGCTGTGGACGGATATTATCCTAAATAAAGAAAAGTGTTCCATTCGTTGTTTGAACCAGTGCCGTTTCCCCTTCATCCTATACAGACACACAGATCAAAGGAATTGTCCATCTTTTTCACTTCTTCAATTTTTAACAGAATATATTGACTTGTTCAGGTTTGCAGATGACAAAGTTTCCGATTAATCAGACTACACCTTATTGTTACAAACTTACAGTTAATTCCGTTTTATTTTCTTCCCAGAAATTCTTTATCCAAAAAAACTTATGTGGTTTGAAAAATATTGTTCACATAGCAAAGTACAGACATAAGAAGTTCTTAAACCGATATAGAATGCAACTGGCCACAGATTGTCTTACAATTGCAGTCTCTCTTTAAAATATTTCAAATAGGTTGGACTCGAACAAGGACTTTGTTTTTTGTATTTATTTTTTTCAATGGCATGCGACAGATCTGTCCATTTCATATGGAAACCATGATAACTAATATATGACAAAGAATACATTTTGTTCAATAGGAGGATAATCATGATTTATCACTTTTATTTATAATAAACAAGATCAAAGCTGGAAAAGTAATCAGTCAGCAAGTAAAAATCACACTAAAAACAATTCAAACTTTAGAGCAAGAGATTACATTTCCCCTCATTTTATCTTATTTATCAGAGGCATGAATTGTTTGCAAGAATGCTCCTTCAAATCGAACTCAAGTGAGAATAACTACGACAACTTATGGGTGCAACTCTAGCAAACAAAATCATGTATCCCCTTAGGCCATCTTGAAGCCATAACAAAGGCCACATCATGGTGTTACATTCTATATATCTTCGCTAGCATCCTTAAGCGACCTTCAATCTCTAAACAGCTATCATAAACTTTTTCCGATTACCTCTAAATTTGTTCGTATAGCAGCGCAAAAACTAACTTGGTTGTGATTTGATTTTCAGCAGGTTATGCTTTGCCATGAAAAGAAAAAACATGAATACTAATATGCAATAAACATGTATTACAAAACAGAGTTCGAGGGTATCTTTCAAGAGTTAATTTTCACACAAGGAAAGGTCAGTACAAACAATATGTAGGCAAATGTTAAAACTTTCAACCAAAGGCTCATGTTTCTCATGAACATGTAAATAAATCTGATGAGTGAATGACTATCATATAAGAAACAAAAAATGCATTACTTTTTCTTGGGGACAATCCTTGTTGATCACATATTCAAATCCACAGATCAACAAAACATGCTTAGATTCCTTGTTCTTAATTACTAATTATTAAGAATAAAAAAGCAACAAAAGTTGTAAAACTTACTCAGACACATGGATTTTGACAAGCATGAAATATATCCTCCAAAACTTTTCCTCCTTCAAATGGCGAGGGCATAGCTTGAATCTAATCTGTGAGAGTTCCTACAAAATAAAAATAATAATAAGAAGAACCTTTAAATGGCGAGGGCATAGGGATTTAAACAGTGGTCCGCTATCGGAATAGCTGCAATTTTATAGAGGTATTGTCCGAAACCGTTATTACATAACCTTGATGCTCGCAATGACTGCAATAACATCCATTTTGTCTGCCATCGTGATAAGATAAATGCAACGGCAGACTCAATTTAAATCCACTAGCTTGAATCTAATAAAAAAGGAGGTTAAAAGAAGAAAACACAAACCTTTACTTTTGAAAGTACTAAGACAGCATGCCGCTGTTGCCAATCAGAAAGATCCATACGGACATTAGAAGAAGTTTGGGTTTCAATGGAACCACTATCTGATCACCAAAAAAGCTTCAATCAAACCCAATTTTCTTTGGGAATTTCAAAAAGCGATAGAGAGAGGGAGGAGTTACCTTGGATAGGGAAATTCTTGAAGGTATCTAAAGTGAAAGACTTGACATAATCGATTAATTGTTGGGTAACTCCAAGGAATTCATCCGTTTCTTCTTGTTCGGTGGGTTGCGGTTGATCTGAGTTTTTGCAGTTTTTACTGTTCCCTGAAACACTGCGGCGAAACCACGACGATAGATTCATTGTTGTCTGGTCGGGTTTGAGCTGGGTTTTCAAGGGATTTTTCAGTCCATGATTAGTTTCAGAGAGAGTATTCTGCTTCACTATGGCATTAGCGCTTCCGAAGAAATCTTATGAGAAAAATATTCAAAATGTTTTAATTATCAAGATTAAAACAATAAATTATAAATTATACAAATTTTATTAAAAATAAATAATATGTACTACATTCGAATACATTTATTTACATTAATATAAATACAAGTCGAATAACAATGGGAACGCATAAATAAATTTTTATATTTAATTATTCAATTAATATATTTAGAAAATTATATTTAAACACCGTAAAAAATTCATATAAAATAATATTAATTTAAAAATATTATGATAAAAATTTAAAATTTGACCAGACTTAAATATATACACTTTTGAGTATTTGTTTTAAAGGTTTCTTATTTATTTAATAATGGAAACTCAAACATCTATATATATTCGAATTTATAATCTCTAAAAATAACAATTATCTATTTAACCGCTAAAATAGCTTAATTCGTAACACTAAATTAATTACATTTTTTAAAGTCTCCCCTTTCATTCCCTTGTCTATTGCTTCATTACAGCTTACCCTTTTAGGTAAATGCTTTGTCGGTTTAGTTACATATATACTTAAAGATTTCAGTTTCAAGTTTAAAATGTAATTATTATGGAGAAGAAGAAGAAGAAAAGCAAAACAAAACCAATTATTAAAAAATATACTTTAGACTGTAATTTATAAGTAGTTATTAGTTGGTGTAAGAGATAAATTTTTTTTAATTTAAATTTTGATATTATGAATAAAGTAAATTAAATTGTGAGGGTTTTTTTTATTATGAGGTTTTTTTTTATTATGAATGAGTACTCGATGAGTTAAATTAATTTTTTTTGAATTATTTAAGTTGATGAGTTGTATTTTATAATTTAAACTTTATTTTAAAGAAATTTTTTAATCGAGTCGAGTTGTTCGAGTTCTTGTTTAAATTTAATTGTGAATATTTATAATATTATATGATACTATTTTATTTCAAATTAAACGATTTTCTACAATCATGTGTGATATACATATATATTTCTTTGTTTTTTAATATGCGATATACATAAATCATGCATAGTTGAGATACTTAATTCGAAATTGAAAATTAATCTACTGATTATTAAAAATTTCAAGTTATTCTTGTTTTATTTTATAAATTTACCAAAATTTAATTTTTTTCGAGTAAAGTTTATAAAATTATGAATCAAGTTAACCAATTTAATTTTTTGAATCGGGTTTTGTTCATCTTATTCCCTATAATATACTTCATAATATTTAATTTAAATTAATTAAGTGATAGAAAACAATTAAATATAAAATATGTAATTTATATATTCGTGTTTAATTCATATTAAGTGAAATGATGAAGATGGAAGTAGGGTTGTAAATGAGACGAGACAGATCGCGAGCTACTCGAGATCGACTCGTTCAAGGCTCGATAAATACTCGGATTGAATGGACTCGACTCGAACTCGATCTCGACTCGAATTCTTAACGAGCCGAAACGAACTACTTGATACTCGACTCGAAAAGCTCGTGAGTAGCTCGAAAATATAATATATTAAGATTTTATTTTTAAAAAAAAATAAATTATTAATAATATTAACATTTATGTGTTGAATTTTTTATAAAAAAAATACAATAAGGCTTTCATGTATTTAAGGTTCAGGTTCGAGTTTGAGTTTGAGAATTCAATCTTGTTAAGTTTAAGAATTTTTTTTTCATTTCGAGCTGCTCACGAGTTTCATTTCAGGATTTCGAGTCAAGCTTAAAAATTTTATGCTCGTGAGTTTTCGAGTCGAGTCGAGCTCCATTTCAGAGTTTTCGAGTCGAGTCGAGCTCAGCAATACCCGAACTCGACTCGGCTCGTTTACACCCCTAGATGGAAGGGATGGTGGCGAGGGATATGATATGAAAGCAGGGTAAATATATTGTTCCTGCTTGTCCCCTTTGCAAAAGGGAAATGATATCCTTTGGATTTGAGGGTGCTGATAGCTCTTAATCAATTTGGATAGGACATCTTTTTGGACCCCAGTTTAATTCATAGACAATTATACATTTTGTTTTCAATAATGTAATATATAATACTATTGCTTGGGGTGAAAGTGCCTTTCAAAGAAGGTGGTTGGCCTTTTTGTTCCAACTCGGGATAATTGGTGAAATTTATCAGTACTAGGACAAGTAGGGCTTTTTTTTTAATTTAAATGGGGTACAAGGAAAGATGGGTATACGTATAAGGGGATTTTCATAACATGATGGAGTGAAAATGTTAAGATCCAAAAGATTGCTTACAACCTAAAACATGAGATGCGCGAAGGCAGAAAAGATGGCATTTTTAACCGTATTTTATGCTTTTTGACGACAAAGAGGTAAAGCAAAAGCATGCAAAAGAGAGGGGGAAAGAAAAAGATGTCCGAAGATTACTCCTTTCTTCTCGCCTTTATCTCCGCTTTGTTCATGTTATCTAACGAGAGGTTTTGGACTCTTTTAGGCCCAAAAAAATAAATATTAGTAAACAAAAAGACCTTTTACTTGGGTTGCTTTTTACCAAAATGATGAACAAAGCAAAGCAAACAGTAATATTAGTAGATTTGAACAATTGTTGAGATTAAGAGGGATGGTGGTGAAAGGATGACCCACCAAAGAGGCCCCTTTGGTTTGGACAATAGCAATCTATGGTTTGAAGATCAGCAGTGTGACAAAAATGGCCAAAGAAGTTGAGCAACGAGATACATCTACAACTGGGGCTCTGTCTCTGTCTCTCTCAATTAACCCCGCACTCTTCTTCTCTTTCCCAGCGTTTTATTTTCATTTTCTCTATCTCGAGTTTACTCGGTGTCTCTGTCAATGGACAAGCAGCAGCAGCACCATCAGCTGTCTTTGGCAAAGAGTTCCAGGCAGCGTTGTAATGAATGGTACAAGTTTGATTCTAGCATTGTTAGCTGTTGTATGAGTAGTTCACGGTTTGTTTAATGTTTTTTTTTCTTCAAAGCTTTGATATTTTCCTCACTTTTCCACTCTGTTACTCCTGCTTCACTAATGCAAAGAAACTTCTTCTTCTTCTTCTTCTTCTTTCATATTGAAGCTTGCTTCAAGTTTCAGTCTCTTCTTTTCTGAAAGAACAGGCTTTTATGTTGTTGCTTTGTATGTTACATGGTATTTCTCTTTCACTTATTTTGTCTGATTGATGCTTTGAAATAAGTTTTTGATTTACAACTGAAAATTACTTAAAAAGGTGTATCCCAGATCACCCACTTAGAATCTTTTCTCTGCTGGTTTTTCTGTAAAGAATTACTATGTTCTTTTATCTTCCAGCTATTTATAATCATTCTTTTATTTGGGGACTGGCTTTGTTTGTGTTTCAGTCCCTCGGTTACGATGACTTTGTTTATGTTCCAGCTATTATCTCTTCCTATTTCTTTTTCCTGCATATTGAAAGTGGTGCTTCTGTTATTATAGGATTTTTCGGGATGTTAAAAGTGATATCACAATACAAGTAACTGGTGGGAGTTTTGCTCTACACAAGGTAATTTTGTGCTTTACTGCTGAAATTTATTCATGTATTTTGTTTATACTTAAATTGGATTTATAGTTGGCTAGGCTCTCTAATTATTCCAGCATTGTAACTAAAGCATTAGGCGAAAATGTGCTTAGCCTTCTATAGATCTGAAACCTTTTTCTTGGTTATTCCAATGGGGGTACTAGTACGTATAGCCGAAAATGGATTTGCTCGTCGCGGATAGACTAAATTTATCGAAGTAAGCATCATTGCTTGGGTGGGAAGATTTGGAAAATTAATATGAAGAACATAAGGGAATTTTAACAAATTTTCTAATTAGTTCTTGTAGCTATATACCTTTCAGCGTACTGTTTATACATGAAACCATAGCCTCTGTGTCCCCAGTTTATGGACTATCATCTAATTTGTTCATCAATATGTTAATATATTAGGTTAAGGTTGCTGTTGAAGTAAAATAGCATGTTTTTTTCATGTGCAGATTAATGTAGGGACTTGGAATATTCGCGTGCTGATAATTGTAGTTGTTATATGCAGTTTCCGCTTGTTTTTTCGGAGTGGAAGAATCAGGAAGTTAGTCGCAGAACTTAGGGATTCTGATATCTCAAGGGTGGAGCTTCCGAATTCACCCGGCGGTGCCGAGACATTCGAGTTGGAAGCTAAGTTCTGTTATGGCATTATCTTTGAAATTACATCTTCAAATGTGGCTCAGCTCTGCTGTGTCTTCGATTACCTTGAAATGACTGAAGAGTTCTTTATTTCGAACAATTAAGGCTGAGAAACGCTTTGTGCTGCTCTTATCCCGATGATGACTGCAAGCCAGTGCATCACCAATCGTGGCGTATCAGCAGTGGTGCACTCAGTGCAGCAATGTCCCCGAAAGACAACTACGCGTCTTTGAGGCGAGAAAGCCGAGAGCTAAAACTCGAGCTTGCTAGGATGCAGATGAGACTAAATGATCTAGAGAAAGAACATGTTTGAATGAAGAGAGATATGGAAAAATCTAGTTCTCGTAAATTTATGAGTTCCTTCTCGAAGAAAATCGGTAAACTAAGCTTCTTTGGACATAGCTCTTCGAGAGGATCAACTTCGCCCTCGAGGCAATCCTATAGAACGGATTCTAAAGTGATTGAGAGGACATGTGCAAGCACTGATTAGGTAACTAAAATGACATGCCTGGACTTGTTAAGGCCATGATTTTGGCCACATTGTATATGAGTTGTGATGCTTTGAGTTACCTCTATTAGTTTTCAGCAGCTTTGCTATTTTTGTGTAACGAGTCCTTAAGTTCCTAAGGATACATTGAATAAACACATGTTAAAGGATAGCTATCAAAGTATCCTAATCAAGGGCAAATCAAGCTACTTTGAACAAATTTTTGAAGATTTTTGGGGTTTTATTTTTGTTTTTTTTATTCTTGGAGAAATCCATTGAACTACATAGTTCAATAAGTAAAAAGACCTGCAATTTCAGCTCTAGAATATGCAACTTTTCTTCTCCTTTCCTCATAATTTGTAGATAAGGAGA